AAGGCACATAGGTGGAAAGGTGGAGTTTTATTTTAGTCATTAATTTTAATTCTCTGATTCTTTTTCTATTTTCCTGGAATTATCTTTTTCCAGTGAAATATATAAATCAGACCACCAATGACAGAACTTATTTTCATAACTCCAGCCTTAATTGTACATCCAACCTGTTAAGAGAAATTCATTCTCATTTAGCCATCTGAGTGAGCGATAAAATTATTTCCCAATTTTTCATCAATGAAAATATTTGTTTGCCTAAAATTTTCAAAGAAGGGATAAAATTGTTCTCCAAATCTGTTTCCAGCTGCATGCCAGAAAAGAAAAATAAACTTTAGGAGTGAAGAAATCCAGATGGTCCTATTTTCAAAATATCTCCATTCTCTATCTTTCAGGCTATATTCCATTTTGAGCTTAACCCTTTTTTGTTTAGAATCCCCATTTTACCACCTCATGGCCTCAATGTCACATATTTTTATAATAACATTCTTTCAAATCTTACATATGGCCATTTAAATATATGGTGGAATACTGATGTTCTAAGATAACATCTTGTACCATTACCATATGGAAATTGTCTTTACAAGTTGAGCCATCGGTTGTGTGGTGTTTTGAACTGAGTTTATAGGTGGTGAAGTGATAAACTAAGGGCAAATTCCAGGTACTGTTAAAAGGACAACTCAAACATGCATTTATTTTTGAAGGCACACATGGAGCTATGGTTCAAGAAGCCAAATGCTTTTAAGAAATCATTTTTATCCAGGATGCTTCTCCATCACACTTGGTGAAAGAAAATAATGCCAGTTTGAAGAAAATTGTTTTTGGACATGACTGTGTTTTGTGTATATTATATGACATATCATATATTAATGGTGCAAATACTTCTGTGAAACTGTTCATTTCTGAATTCCAAATAGTGAAGTGACCCCCCCCGGCAACAAACCCAGGTTGAACAAATCTATAACCAAGATGTAATGCTTGATGTGCACACATTGTTAATAGTTGCCTTTTTGTTTCCTTATAAAGTTATACAATATTTCTTGTTTGTCTAGAAGTTTTAAAGGTAGATATATAGAATACCAAAAGTATGGATAATTGAACAAAACTATACAACAAAGCTTGGTTTGTTTTTATCTAATCTCTTTTCATTTTTATTTTTTTTTTTAATTTTTTTTTTTTTTTAACTAGAAAGAGCAGACATGTTTTGTTTACCAAAAGACAACAAAAAACAAACAAATTATCTGTAACATAGAATTTGACTTTTATATATTTGTTCATTTTTATACCTACGTGAAGATTTTCCATATTTAGGTCATTTAGCATTTTTTTTGTGATTCATTTGATAAGTAAAATGTCACCAATAAGTTGCAGATGTTTCAAACCATTGGGAAAATTTAATTTGGTATGTTTTATTTATGAACTGGCATCTAAAAAAATATCACAAAAACACTAGAAAAATAAAATGTGGATCACATTAATTGGTTAAAGATTTGGTTTTTATTTTGACTATTTATTTTACCAAGGTTCATGTATCTTGTATTGTTTCAGTACTAATTTAACCTTTACTGTGCTGGAGGTGAAAATTGTTGCCATAGAATTCTCTTCCTTTGCTACTGTAGCCTTGATATGGTTGCTATAAATAAACACTTGTCAACTGTTATTTCCAGTATTTTAAGCTGGAAATCACCTACTACTTCTTTGGAACAAGGCTAAACTTCCATTTTCTGTCACTATTTTCAATTCTTCTAGACTCTACACAAGGTGTAACTTAGTTTAAACTTGGGTAAATTTTTTTTTCACAATTTTTTTTTTTTTTTTTTTTTTTTTTTTTTTTTTTTTTTTTATTTTTTTTATTTTTTTTTTTTATTTTGTAAACAAAAATGGCCGCATCAACATCCAGTGAAGCCTTTATCTAGGAGTTTTTCTCTATTTGGATTCTGATGATGATTTTAAAGGCTTTACTCAGGTGGAAATTGATAGTGAAGTTGGTCGAAGATGATAAACCTGTGTCAATACGTGGTGGGGAAAACACGCCTGACTAATTTTATGGATGTTAATGGTCACCATTGATATACCTGACAGCTTTTCTGGAGGTGAATTATTTTGTCTATTTATAAACAACAAAATAACTTTCTCATTGACAAATAAATATGCTAGTCAGGTGAAAGAAAGACCAAACAAATGCTGGTGTCTTATTTGTATACATGAGAAAGCGCGTCACGGTGAAATGAAAAGGAGTAATAAAAGTTAAAGTATGTTAAATTGTTAATGTATTTGTTTTTTTTTTTTTTTTGTTTGAATTTTTTTGTTTTCAACATTAAAACATACATGCAAGACGTAATGCATTAAATCAAAATATTACTCATTCTTTTGTGTACACGAAAAATAAAATCTATACACACAATACAAAGAAACTTATAAAAATTTTAACAGTAGGTGTTTGTTTTTGTGCCCTCAAAAAAAAAAAAAAAATTCAGTGACAGGGGGAATCAATCTAAAAAGAAATTATCATGGTAAAGGTTAATAATAAGGGGTGGGGGCTATAATGTGGTTGTTTATGAATTGTGGCAGACTCCTAAGATCATTTTCCTTTCACTGCATCTTTTGAATAAATTATATTCAGTTATTAAAATGTTTTCCAGGATAAAATTGTGAACAGTTTTCACTGGCACACAAGTTCATTGATTTTTTTATTTTTTTTTTCTAATTTGTTTGTGTATATATATATATATATATATATATATATATATATATATATATATATATATATATCTTGATGTTTTACAAATGTATTGTGGGGTGGGCATTGTTTATATTCTATTTGGCTGATGCCTGCTTTCGATATAAAGCAAGCTCTGTGTTTTACGTTAAATCTTTAGTTATTTTTTCAGTGTTTAGGATAATTTTTATATAATAAAATTGTATATAAAACAACTAGGAGAGTGGAGGATTTAAAAAATATTTTCTGTGTATTTTTCTTAAATGGGTAGATATTCAGGCATGCAAATTCTATGGGCTCTTAAATAAAAACCTATAATTATTTATTTCTGATTTTAAGACACTTCTATTAAATTGTATCTGAGAAAAAGTAATACTGAAAAGTACACACAACATACTAAAAACATCATGTCACAGATTTTCAAACTACTCCATTATCATTTCTACCACTAAAGAACTTAAAATAAATTAAATCGCTTTAAAAAAAAAAAAAAAAATAATAATTGGACTGAAACTGTAATGGGGAAAGTATCTTATACTTGAAAACTGATAGCCTATGAATCTCTAAAATAACATTGGGCAAATAAACACACTTATAATCCCTTTGTGTAAACAGTAAATGGAAAGACCTGTGATGACCAGACCTCCTCGTCAAGTGTAAAACTTTCCATCACCCAGAACTAAAAGTCCTCCTCTGATAATGAGGTTCTACTTGTTTCATTTCCAAATTTGAAGTCTCCAGTTCTCCTCTTCTTAACAGACAGAGGCTACAACCTTGCAAGCATATAAAACTTAGGGTTTTGAGATAGACCCCCCAAAAAAAAAAAAAAAAAAACATATATATTCTGAAACTACATTACCCAGGGTACTTGGATAAGTATATTTCATTTCAATCAAACAGGGTCCGGGGGTGGGGGTACAAACACCCCACTGGAATTTTTTTTTTCCCCTTTGATTTAATTCAAACAAGGGAATGACTCCTATCTAAAATATAGGAGAAAGCCAGAAGATGGAAGTCACATCGGCAAGTTAATTGAGTAATATTGAAATGCATTATTTTTTTCCACAAATTATAATGATTTAAAATCATTCATTTTCTTAGAAAAAAAAATGTGACACACAGCAAGACATGGGTAATTTGGCTAGTATACTATAATACTTGACTAGCCTGGAATTTGAGCACAGTTCACTGGTACCATTTTTTTTTTTTTTTTTTTTTTTTCATGCCAGTATCCATCACACTGCTTGCACATCTGGCATTTTACTATGTAGTAAAACAAAGATAGGATTGAGAATTGTCAAGAAAGCGGTGACAGAATGATAATATTTTTACTCTATTTATTTAGTGGATCTTCTGTAACCAAATTGATCTATGAAAGACAGTTTCTTGAAGTGCATGCACAAATGTGAGTTCGTTTTTATTGTTGTTGAATAATGCTTCTTTATTTCTAATTCCATGCTGTTTGTGCTTAACCGTTGAACAGAATTAACCCATAATAAGCAATGCTCGTACAGAGTAAAACTGGTCATAAAATAAATTAGTTCATTTCTCATTGGAAATGACTGGAATGTTTCTTGTAAAAAAAAATTTTATGCTATTATTTTCAATAAGAAAAAGAAGAATGTTTTTATTATTGTACTATTTTTTTTTAGTTTAAAAAATAATTCTTTTAAAGATGTCATTCTGTAACATTAATCATTTTGACCCCCCCCCCTTCATCAATTGGTGACTTGTGATATTCATCGTATGCTTGTCTTAGTGTTTTCCTTATTAACCAAAAGAACTTAAACACATTTCATAGTTAAAGGCTGATAGGCTCCAAATCGATAATTTTAGAAATGTAAATAATACCTAAGTTTATAAAATGTGTTATAAATTAATCAAGGAAATTGAGATTACATGGTCCACAGAGCAAGAAAAACCTTTATTTTTATTATCAGTCTTATTCCTATTTCTGCTACTTTGAGGATATTGTTATAATATTACAATTAAGACAATTGTTTCTGTTTATATTGCTTTTGGTAATGTTATTGTCATTATTACTATTATATTGTTTGTACCTGCCTTTTCTAATTATATTATTCCTGCGACTTTTTTTTTTTTAATAATACTTGTGGTGTCCCTCATTAATTAGGAAAATAAAATCTGTAGATTTTGCAAATAGATTTAAAAAAAAAAAATTTCCAAGGTTTTAAATTTATTCTACCATCTTTCCAGAAAAAATGATTTTCATTTCTATGTTCTGTATGAATTGTATTGATGATGGGTTATTATTTGTATTTTTCAG